AAAAGTCAATACACGTGGCTCTCGATATAATGGAGGCCATGGTTCCAGTCTTTTGCTCTGTTATATCAAAATTTCATGTTACATCAGGTATTATAGTAAATCGTAATTTGGTTCCATTATAATTCCCGTATTAACCAATATCCGTTATATTGATGGTCCGTTATATCGAGAACCACGTGTATTAAGAATTAATTAGCGCTGAAATCGGTCTATCTAGTTCAGTAATTAATGTGCACATATAACATTATTTTAATATCGATAAAATTTATCTTTTTTATTATGAAAATTTTTTATCCTATTCGAGGATTTATAATTCTACGTAGTAAAGATTTTTTTAGCTATTTAAAAATAACATATTCAATTACTGAATAAAGTTATTGAATAATTACCAAATAAGAGGACACTTAGAAAACATACGACGTACAGTACATATAATAATATATACCGGTTTGCAGCTAACGAACCAAAACGGCGCAAACGTTTCATATCTCTAAGTAGTATGCATGCAAAATAATTTTCCAAAAAAAATAAAAAAAAGGAATAAATAATTCTAAAATAAACCAAAACTTAGTCACAAGTAAAATAAAGTTCATTTTCACTTCTTCCTTCATCATAACGATCGCATAACCTAACACCCATAGTTTGTAATTCAAAAAATTTCTCTTCCAATTCGTGACACCAAAATTCAAAATTATTCTGATTAAATATTATCTTTTTTGGCATGTTTCTTAAATTCTCTTTTGCACATTCGCCAATAATTTCAACGCTTCTGTGATCAAGTTTCTTACAACTTCCTAAATCCAATACATCAAGTTTTACCGACATTTCCTTTAACAAAATTTTTAAGCTCCCATAAGAAATATCTTTATACATCGAAATAACAAACTTCTTCAACGTTTTTGGAAAGTAGCTAACCAACATACGATAATCATCTTCAGTATATCGGTTTAAAAATGGGTTCCATATGGAAAGTGATTCTAATTTCTGACATGATTGTAAAAGATTGAAGAGTAATGGAATTGAATGAAAATCAATGGTTGAATCGAAATGAAGTAAGTTTTGACTACAATGGGTGGCTATGGTACGTAAAATTGTGGATAATTCTACTGAATGAATTTGAATGTTTAAATTAATATGTGTTAATGATGATTCATGTACACATCCACTTCCATCATTAGATTCTTTATTTTCACTATTAACGTTATTAACATTATCAGCAACATTAAAATTATTATTTACAATACAATATAGAAAGTCATTAAACTATCTGGATTACTTTTTAATTCTACCACTTTGTAAGTTGATCTCGAAGCTTCAAGGCATATATATTGTTTGGTTCAATTTTTAATGATCTATGTACCTCTGCAAGTGCTGCGCAATCGTTGTGCATCATGCGAAAAATTGAACCACGGATCGCTAATGCCAATGCATTTTGAGGTTCAATTTCTAATAATTTTGTTATATCACTGAGTGCTTCTTCATATTTTCCCATAATACGATAAATTATTCCGCGTCTCTTTAACGTAGATACGTCATCTGGTTTAATAGACAATGCCGTATTCAAACTTTCAAGTGATTCATCATATCTACGCATATCATAATAAGTTTCACCACGTTCTCTCAATGCAATCACATTGTTTGGTTCAATTTCTAACGACTTATTTAAATCAGCAAGTGATTCTTCATATCTACCCATCATACGAAACGTCGTCCCTCGTTTTCTCAATACAATTGCATTATCCTTTTTAATTTCTAATGCTCCGTTTAAATACATAAGAGACCCTTCACTTCTACCCTTCATACAATGAGTTATTCCATAATTACATTGCGCGCCTGAATCATCCGTGCAATTATTGGATGTTTGAAGACTAGTTGGAGCTGTATAAAAACTGTCATGTGATTTAGAAGTAGAGATTAATCTGGTGTAAATTTTCGGGGACAATACATGTTTCTAAAAACCTAGAACGATCAATTTCTTTAATTCCTTTAATTCCTTGAATGAGATGCTCCAAATCTTCAAGGATTAATCTTGTTTCTGGACGTTTGGTAGGATCTTCATCCCAACATCGAGTGTAAAGTTCAATATATCGAGTTGGTGTGCCAACTATGGGTGTTTCTCTATCCTTTTCTAATATTCTGGAGAGAATTAATAAATTAGATGGTTGTTCGTTAAACGGTACACGCCCACTTGAGATTTCCCATAGGATAACACCAAAACTATAGACGTCAGATTTTTTATCACGTTTATATGAATTATCTTTCAGAAATTGCGGATCGACATATGCAGGCATTCCGAAGACAGAAGATAAAATTATTGATTCTTCATTTACATGTTTAGATAAACCAAAGTCAGCTATCATCATTTTTCCTTCGTGAACCAAGATATTTTGTGAATGCTGATAAAATAATAAAGAATAATCAATTATTAATGGAATTAACTATGTAATTAAATAAACTGATGTCTTGCCTTGAAAATCATGTTATGGAATATATGACTTACTTTGTCCCATAACGTGATTTCCAAGGCAAAGGCCTCAAATAATATTATACTTACAAGATCACGATGGATAATATCACTGGCATGTAAAAAAATAAGCCCTTGCGCTATTTCTTTAGCAAAACGCAATTTGTCAGTCCAATGAAAGTTTGGATTTTTTCTTAAATATTCGCGTAAATTTCCATCCTCGGCCAACTGCAACACCATATTATAAGGCTCTTTTGTCACTCCATAAAATTGGATAATATTTGGATGTGAACAAACTTGATGTAAAAATTGAAGCTTTTATATTATAAATTTCAATTTATAAGTATCATGGTATTTAACTAACGCAAAAAATATATATCATTAATTCATTGAATAATATACAATACCTCTTTAACAAACTCGTAAACATTTTCTTCATCCCAATTTGTTAACGTTTTAAGAGCGACTGTCATCGCACGACATCTCCATTCAAATTTATATACTTTGCC